GGGATCCAGACAAAACCATAAGCATAAAAAAGAGTGAGGACATGTAAGCGGAGAAATAAATACTCAATATAAAAGAATAAAAGACTATGTGCTGCGAGACATGCTACATCTACAAAAAAAGAAAAATGGAAGTTAGGCTCCACTTTTACAAATCTAATCCTAAAACTACATAATAAATGTACAATATAAAATTAAGGTGTGAGCCACGAGCAAACAACTCTTAGTCCTCTCTACACAGTCCTTCAAGCTTCAAGACTCATGATCATACCTTATTTTCAATACAATTTCTCCTAAGGGACTCTAAAAGTGCATAGGAAAAAGTCTAAAAAAGACTCATTCTATAAAATAAAGGTTAGTATAGGTTATCTCATGCAATGTATAAAAGATCGTATTTAGTGGGAGAAAAACTAAACAACTCCTACATAAATTATGTTAATTTTTAAATCGTTATGCTCCTTCTTATTAGATATGAAAACTTATACAAAAAACCCACCCTAAAATTCTAATGCAAAAGACTCTAACTTATTAACCATACAAAACAACACACAAGGTGTACAATAGCTAATACATACCAAAGAATAATAACCATGTATGAAATTTTCTAACTACACCCTAACCCTATTATTGACCTCAATTTCCAATGAACCCTTTCCCAGGCTTGTATTTAGTTGAATCTCACTTAAGCTAACTCTTGAGCTAAAATCTAATCTAACAAAACTAAAATCTAACTAAATTAAAAGTAAAACCAACGAAATCAAAATAGAACTGAATATAAACAACATTAACCAGATCCTAAAATTGACCTAAAAGTGACCTAAACCAACAAACACCCTGAACTTATTCTTTTCTCTCTAAATTATTGTAACGTTTGAAAATTAATTCTGAAATTTACATGAGGTTTATTATTATATATGAAGATCTTGAAAACAAGTTTGAAGATCGTATGATACAATTTTTACATAAATTTTTTTCAGTTCAATTTCTCATATATGAATTGCCATCTTAAAATTATTATTTTCTTCACAAACCAATCCTGTGATTAGAATTATATTATGTAAGTTGAATAATATTTATAATCACATATGAAGAGCGTGCAAACTATTTTGAAGGTCACCGGACACCATTTTTACATAAAAGTTTGTACTTAAGTTTTCATGCATAAAAAATAGTCCCACAAAAAAATTTTAAAAGAATCATTATTTTTTTAAAAAAGACTTTGTCATTGCATCTGAATTGTTGAAATCTTTCAAATGAAACCCTGTACACTTAAATTCAAATCTGTTTGGGGGCCTGTTCAGCCGAAGTAATTTTAGCAATATTTTCAATAATAAAAAGAATAATTGTAATAATCAAACCACAATGAATTCAAAATGAAGCCAAACTTCAACCAACCTAAAAATGAGCTTAAAATACTTAATTTAATATACTAAAACCAACCCAAACCTCCAATTTAAAATTGACCAAAATTTTCTCTCTCATAGGGTAGGGCCCATATTTTAACTTGAAATATCATGAGATGGGATCCACTTTGATTAAATTTCTAGTTTATTTAATCGAGCCTCACCCTCAATTCCATTGTTCATCCTTTGGGATAGATACAGGCATTTAAACTATAAAAATTATGGGGTCAGTTTGACTTCATTTTAAAAAAAATACGTCCTTCCGACGTGGGCAACGGATTTTCAATTCCGATGACCGACAGCTTCTTACGGGCAAACCCCACACAAAAAAAAGTGCCGACACAACCTTTTTGAAATTCAAAATTTCCTCCCATTTCTAAAAATTTATCTCTAAAACTTCCCGAAACAACTCCCTCCCTTTCTTCCCTCTAATTCACCACAGAAACTCACCTCATGCAAAAAACCAACACATGCTCTAAACCTTGTATGTATGTATATGAAACAGAGGGATTTGGGAGCTTGCTACCAAGATTCTTTTCCTCTCCAATTTTTAGGGTTTGAATATGGTTTCTTTGTAATGATTACCTCAGATTTCCTTGTTAAACTTCATCATTTTAATCTTTGTCGTTGGTGATATGATTTTTTTTTTGTGGCTTCTACGCGAGTACTGTTACATTGATCGTTTTGTTGGTTTATTGATGCCTTTAGTTTTGAATTTGGTTAGAGTTTGTTTTTAACAATGTCTAATCCCTTCTTTGTTGATGTTTTAGAAGGATACAAATCTAATATGTTGCACTTTGATTTTTACTCAATCATTTCATTCGGAATTTATGGGCAACTTGGATTCTAATTTTTTGAAGAAAGTTAACAGGAAGATACTCAACATTTGATTGAACCTATAAAAATTATTTTATTTGGAAAATTTACATATGATCATCCAAATATGGAATTAATCTAGAAATTCTTTGGAGATTTGAAACTACTTGGTGAGTGGCAAGTTGGATGGGAGACACAATATCATTAAGCTTGGGAGTGAGGAGGATTATGCTAAGCTTTTTTTGTAGTAAATTATGGTTCATTGATAATATGAAAATGAAAGCTCTTAAGTAAACACCTAATTTAGATCCAACCACTAAAATACCAATAATCCAAATTTGGATCACATTCCTGAGTCTAAGTCTTCATTATTTCAATCAACAAGTTCTGTATTCATTAGAAGCTATATTTGACCAACCTTTGAAAGTAAACTTGGCCACTTTAAGTCTGGGTCTTCATGTGTTAGATTCATGGTGGAAAAAAATATCATCTTCCTTCAATTGATGAAGTTTAAATGGCCACTCTTAATACTGGCTACTGGAAAAAAGTAGAAGTTGAATATAAACCAAAGTATTGCTCCAAATATAAATTATTTGGACATAATTTTGATGGTTGTTTCATTACATACCCTTAGTTAAGACCAAACAAGTATAAGCCTAGAAATAATCAACAAATACCAAACAAGGATCAAATAATGGTTACTCAAGGAGAAATACTTGATAAACAATATCCACCTAACCAATTCTCTCTCAACAATAATCCTGAGATGCTCTCTAATAAAAATAATGGAGAACTGAAGTACTTTCATGTTATTAATGAGATACGACATCCTAATCAAGAGGTTGAATTAGATCAACTAGTGGACACTTGTATTCAACCTGGTATCTTGATAGAACAACTACATACCTAGGAAGAACAGGTAAATTCACTGCCTTTAATCACTATGGAGGAATTATAATCTATTAAAGAAGCTTTAAAAGGGTAATGACAAGTGCAAACTCAAATAAACATAAAGGAAAGGAACATAAGGAACTTAATTATATTGACCCAAATGTTGTGCTAAATTATGAAGGCAAATCCTTAGTTGGAATACTTATAAATATTGATAAATGGACTCCTCTTAGAGTAACTAGAGAGAGTAAATCAATTAACTTCCTAATTTAGAATGAGACATTTCTAAGCTTGAGGCCTCTAATAGATTATTGATTCTTTTCTGGATTCACAAACTTAGATGTTTTGGATTTTGGAACCTATGATTATTGAGAACAACATTCAAAAGACCATTAAGAAGTTGAGGAAGTTAAACTATGCATATAATTGTAACTTTGAAATCTAGTTTCTTTTGAAAATGGCGGTGGTTGTCAAAATCTTATATTGTAATCAATAATTTCTTCAAATTATTGCAATTTGAAGGTTTATAATCTTTGGAAGGAGGATGGGCAGGACTATCCCAAACAACTTAATCTTTGAGAAATGAATGGAGGAATCACATTGCTGACATTCCTTTATAGGGAAAAGGAAGATTACAGGAGAATAAAAGCTGTTGTGCTTATTTCTTTTTGTAAAGTGATAGTTGGTTCCCCTTTTGCTAACCATTTTCATATTGGTTTTGATGTCATATGGAATACTAGGTTAAAATCAACATAATCCCCTTTCACATGGAGGCTACAATTCAAATTTCTTCACATGAATGACATTTTGAAGCTCAACGGTCTTTATGTTCCTTCTGCTTGCCTTCTGGGTAGATAGAAGGAGGAATCTCTCACTCACCTTTTCTACTCTTGCAGGATTTCCTATTTTTTTTGGACTAATGTGACCAACTTATTTAACCCCTCTATTCCTAGAGAAGGTTATCATTTTTTTTATCACTGTTTGGAGAGATGGAGGTGGAAGCAATCTAATGCTCATCTAACAAGTATAGTCCATTGTATAATTTGTTGGTTTATCTGGATGGAGACGAACTCTAAAAAGCATAATCAACTCTGTCATCATGAGGTAAGAATTGTGTTTAATATTAAAGCTTTCATACATAAGGTCTGGACTTTCAATAATATAAAGATAAAACATTCTCAAGGATTGGATTTTTTATTGTCTATATTCCAAATTCAACAAATGCCTAATCTTCGTAATTTTGTTCAATTGGTTAGATGGATCAAACAGGTGTTCCCTTAGTTCAAAGTTGACATTGATGGAAGTCTTAGGCCTCACAGAACAGGTTTGGGTGGTATATTTATAGGCCAATCAAAGGAATGTATCTTATTTTTTATGCACCATGTAAGCCTATCTCTGCGCCTTATTCAGAACTAGCTGCCGTCCTTTGCTATTGTCAATTTGCCAGTGAGTTAAGACTTAGCTACTTGCAAATTGAGATTGACTTGATGTTAATCTTCAAAATTTGTGATGGTGCAATTTTTTGTTTCTTGTTTAATCTCCTACTTTGGAATAAGATTTCATTGATTTTGCCTCTTTAATATTTCTTGGTCATTTACATTAAGGGAGGCCAACAAACCAGCTAGTTATCTTGCTAAGAGCGCTGCTACTTCGGATTCACTTACCGTGGGTTGTTGTCTACTCGTGGGGCTTGCTAGATCTTTTGGATTTTCTTTCGTTAGAGCTCAGTTTTAGTGAGCACTTCTTTTTGTAAATTTTGATTGATCATATATAGACCATTTTTTTACTTTTAATATATATATATATATAGACACACACACATTGAGTTTCACTGAAAGAGAAAAAAAGATTATACATTAAAAAAAGCTATACATTAGAACCACAAACGCTACAAAAAGGAACTTCCACGCAACTTATTTACAACGGTATATAACATCATTTTCTATTTTATGGCCCCTGTTTTATTGCCGCATTTAGGCCTCATACATATCACCCACCTCAGATGATGACAGGGAAATGAGAGGCTCAGCACTGAATCTTCCACCTCAAACGAAGAAAATCTTATTCATAAGACAAAAACTCCAACCACTGAGAGCAACCACCGCCAGTCATCAGCTGATCCGAAGGCCAACCATTACCATGGAAATAGGACTGTTTTTGTTCAGTATTGTCTTCCGAAACCAAAACCCTGCCTCCCCCTACTTCCTTTGTTTTGTGCGGATGATGATGATGCTCTACCTCCTTTCCCACAAAAAAAGGATTCACTTTCTTCTTCAAATCGGAAATGTTCGTGTTTGATGACAAGCTCAGTATCTGCGTCTGATCCGCTTCACTTCCTGTTGCAGTAATGTCAAACTGCTTGCCACTCTCCTTTTTATCCTGCTGATTATTAGCCTCCAACATCTCCGCTAGCCTTTGCACCTGCACATCAATTAACTCCTAATTATTAAACTAAGAAGAGAAAACAGGGGATATGATCAATAACTGTCTCCCTCAACCTGCATCGACAGGACATTCTTCTGGTGGAGGAGTGTATCATAGGAAGAACGGAGAGCATCGTAGTCTGCGCTGAGGGCTGCATAAGCGCGCTCCAGCTGCTTGGATTTCCATCGAGCGCGTTTGTTCTGGAACCATATCGCCACTTGCCGGGGCTCTAACCCAAGTTCCTTGGCAAGCTGCTGTTTTTTCCTCGGCTCCAGCTTCGCCTGCTCCTCAAACATCACCTCCAGCGACTTCACCTGCGCCTCACTGAACCTCCTCTTCTTCTCCCCTGTCACCGCAGCAGCAGAACCAGCATCGTTCTCATACCCGCTACTGCTGCTGTTGCTGCTGCTCAGCATCATCATATCGATCAAATTCCCCGCCGCATTCTGCAAATCCCTCATACTGGAAGGAAAAGTGATGGGAGTTGTAGAAAAAAAGCTTTGCCAGGGAGAAGGGAGAGGGGAGTAGGCCAATGGAGAGATGGCGGGCTGGAGGTGGCGTGAAGGACTTGGCCGCCTTGGATTGCTAGCTGTCTTTCAGATTGATTCCACGTACCTGTTGCTTCAGACTTTGTTCCACATCGATCTTCCTGTGTCATTTTCTTCTTAGGGGCCCGCATTGCTCTCCCATTTTTGTTGGCGCCTCATGATTGCGATTATGAGCAATTTTTTTAGCTAAAAAAATGTGTTTGTATTCGGCTCATTAACTTAGCGAGTTGAATACGAGCTATTCACGAATAAAAAGTCATTTTCACAGCCCTAATCACGCAGCCAAAAAATGTTAAGAGTTGTGACAAGACTTAAAATATCATTTGAATCTAATTTAATAATTTTTATTCTATGTTCTTACTTAATACTTTTAATTGATTATAAATATTTGTATCCTTGTACTCAATTAATTTTTTTTAAAAATATTACTCATATTAGTAGTATTTCGAGTCAAAACGAACTGAACACAAACGAACAAATATTTGTTCGTGTTGTTCTTTTTTGACTCGTTAACTTTACTACGAACGATAACGAGCCGAACGAGCTTCTTAACAAGCCGAACACGAGCTGTTCGCGAACAACGAGCCGTTTTAACAGCCCTACTATGAGATAATTATTCATAAGTAATAATATAATATATTATTTATCATTAATATAATACTAATAAATTTGTATTTTGTTGATTGATATAATGAAGTTTAGGGAAATTATGTTGCGTTAAATAGTAGTGATTTCGCTTTAAGATGTGGGCCGACAACAGGAGGAGGTGGCGGGTGATGGAGGTGGCATTGGTCTTGTGTGAAGACAGGTGGAAGTTTAACGCAAGATGCGTGGGAGGGTGGGATACGCTGCGGGGTTCGGGGTCGACGTCGAGCCGAACAGGCCTAGCGCGGCGGGTCAGGGGCGTGGGCCTGCATTCTCATTTCTCGCTCATGTTTCATTCTTCATGTTTATCTTGTTTTTTCGATTTATTGAGTCCATAATACACTCGCCTGACACGTCTCAAAGTCCGACACATCCATAATTTGTCTGATTTTAATAATATTAAAATAAAAAAAAAATTGACCATAAAATTAATGAATAATTTTTTTTTTATTTTTATGAAAACATGGTTTTTTTAATAAGTAAAAAAAATATTTTTTTGCTAAATCATGATTTGCACATGAAATACACCTAAGAAATAAAGCATAAGAAGAGGGAGAGAGAGAGAGAGGTGAAAAATAATGACATAATATATCGTATCAATTGTTTCTTAGTCATAAAATGATCACACTATTTATGGTGAGAGCGTGCACAATATGATGATATTATATTTTTTGTACTTACTTTAGTATTTTTTTGTATTTTCTCCAATTGTTCTTTTGCTCGGTTGTTTTAGTTTAATTGGCTTTGAGTTGGCAAAATCAGCTTGGTAGCTTGAGATCTGCTGAGTTGGTTGCCCTTGGTTGATATGGGTCGGACGGTTGATATGATCTGGTTGATGATCATTGACTTCTGATGGGAGTCTTAGGGTGTCCCTAAGATAGCTGAAGATACTAGAGAACTGAGTATTCTCTTGAATTGTCTTTCTTATGATAATTGACTTGAATACTCTTTTGCTTTCTTTTTGATTGAGTGACTCATTCTGGTGTCCTCTACTCGACTTTCGTCTATCTTGTGGTTCGGTCGGCTTTGGCTTCGTTGGCTTGGCTCGGACAGTATCACCTGATTGGATAAGTGTCATGGTCTTTTGTCAGTGGGTTATCTTTCTTTGTAATCTTTTCATCTGGACGATTAAATCTTCTCAAGACCAGTGCTGACACTTTTTTATGTGCATACTTTAGCTTCTTGATTATCTTATTTCTTGAATTCGACGATGCAATAAGAATAAGAGAATTTAATGTAAAAATTAGATCGCATTTATTCTTAATCAATGATTCAATAATGAACTTCTCTTATTTATGCACCTTTGATGCTTATAAATAAAACGTGAAAAGATTCTTTTCATTCCATATTTGCTTTGCATCCATTCCTATATGAATTGGTTGGCTTTTGAGTGTAACAATGGAAAATAAGCCAAATCCCTAAGTCAATATCCCAGAAAATGATTTGTTTCGTGTTGCCTTTGAGAGATTAAAGGAGCGATGCCACCCCAGAGATGGATAGAAAAAGAAAACCATCGCTAAGAAGATAAAAGCATTTGCATTGATGAGGGTCTGTTTGGCGCAGCTGTGGATTATTTATAATCTGCTGATAAGCAGATTATTGTGATAATCTGATAATCTGTAGATTATCAGAATAATCTGGCTTGCTGTTTGGGCCAGCTTATTGAAGCTAGCTTATTGGTGGTTGAATGACATAACTGCCCCTTGCTTTCATTCAGCAATAGCTTATTACATTATTAGCAATAGCTTTTGCCAAATTCAGCAATAGTTAATTCTGTAGTTAGATATTTTGCCAACCTTCAAGCTACTTATCGTGTTCTCGGGTATTTCAAATCAAACACGGAGAAGGGGATTCTCTATTAAAAAAAAAACATAGAACTCTGAAACCACAAGGCCATAATAATCAACTTCAAGTTATTGCAATTGCTCTTATGAAAATGTATTACGTGAACTAAGAAGAAGTGGTGTAGACAAAAAGTGTGGAATCTAAATTTAGAGCAACAATCAAAGAAATTAGTAAACTTTTGCTGCTAAAAAGAACTAATGATTGAATATAAATGATCTATGAGGATATATAATGGCAAAAACAATTATTATAACATGATCAAACCAAAAACATGAGGGTAAATAAACACTTCATAAGAAAAAAAAAAATATATTGATCATAGAAGATAGGAAGCGTCTTCGACAATGATAATAGAAGAGTAAGATCACCACATGACCTAAGGTAAAGAGGAAGATGCTTCGCAAATACTCTTTCACATTACTGAAAAGACGTTCCTAAAACTCTATAATCAACACCGGAGAGATTCTTTTGTGAAGGAGTATATGATCGAATTTATATTATATAAACTACTAGGACATGAAGTACCAAATGAAAATTTTTGTGAGGATCCGAGTTTTGACAATAATGGTTATATTCTATGCATGTATATTGAAATGTAGAAATGATGAAAAGGTTAGCTAATCTTCAAGTTTGCAAGGTTTGTGCTATTTCCTACCCAAAAGCTTGAACGACAATTTTCTTTTGAATCTTTATGTGCTAAGTGTTGGCCACATTCTTGCAAAGGATGCATGTGGCTATTCTAATTCTGAAATTGTGGCTTCTATTCTAATTTTCTTTTGAATCTTTATGTGCTAAGTGTTGGCCAGTCCCTGTAAAAGCTCAACAATATTTAAACTTTATAGCAGATTACATAAAAGACAATAATTTGGAAATTCAAATAGTAGCTTCTTCTCCATGTACAAAAAAATAAGAGGATTAAAAGCAAATTCAAAAAGAGGACTCAATCATTATGCAACAAAAGAGCAACAAATAAAGTGGCATTTACATACATACCACCCAATTCTGTTGTATTAACAATCTAACACCTATTTTGTTTTTGTTTTCATACCACCCAAATCCTTCAAACCACAAAAAATACAACTATTTTAACTTATAAAAATGGATATACACCCTTTAATGCTTTGTGATTTGTGATCGATTGGTGGATTGCAACCAAAGGGTTTTAACTACAGAACAACAGCAATTTTTTAACTTATAAATACAACTATTTTAACTTATAAAAATTGAATCCTACATTCTAACTACAGAACAACAGCAAATCAAAATTCCCAACCTTACAGCAGCAACAAAACAACAAATTTGATCACTCACCTCAATCTCCAGAGCAGAAACCCTTTCTGCGGTAGATCGAGGGCTGCGGAGCGGGGCGAGGTGCGGAGATCTGCGATCTGCGGGCGAGAACGACTGAACTGCGATCTGCGGGCCGAGGTGCGGTAGATCGCGGGCCGAGGTGCGGTAGATCGAGGGATGCGGAGCGGGGCGAGGTCCGAAGAGCTGCGATCTGCGGGCGACAACGAGGGCTTGCGGAGATCTGCGACGGAGATATGCGGCCTGCGGAAATTTGCGACGGGAACGAGCGAGCGTGAGGGAGATTTCGGGGAGGACGAGGGCGCAGCGTGAGGGAGATTTCGGGGAGGACGAGGGCGCAGCGTGAGGGAGATTTCGGGGAGGACGAGGGCTGGGCCGTAATAAGCCCCCGCCGAACGCCGAACGCAGGATGTCGGGAGCTTCTTCGGGACCGAATCGAATAGCGCCATTTTAACGCAGCGTTTAGCGATCGCAGGAGCGAACGCCGAAACAAACTCAGACGCGGCGTTTTGAAAACGCTGGACGCAGGTAATAAGCTGCGTCAAACGAGCTCTGAATCAAGAGGACTTGTTAGATACGTTTCTCTGCACTCGATGGAGGAACGTTAAGATGACCGGCTTGACCATCTGTTCATAGACTCAACCTTCTTTTGTGGCATAGAACCCATCCGCCCCAAAAGTGAATGAAGTCTAATAAACTTTAATAAATTTTAACAAAGTTAAAAAATTTGAAATAAAACTTAACAAACCTAAATGAATTCTAATAAACTTTAATTAACTTGAGGAATTTTGAATCTTAATAAACATAAATAACCCAAATAAACTTAAATTAATTTAAATGAACTTTAGCCCAAAACTTAATACAGCTTAAAATGTTTAAACAAAATTTAAAAATAAGTTTACAAATTTTAATGAATCTTAAATAATTTCAATAAGTAATAACAAATCTTTAAATAAACTCAAACTAAATAACTCTTAAATGAATTTTAATATTCTTTAAAAAATTTTAAAATATAATTGAAACAAACATAATAACAAAATAATCTCTAAAGACTTATATAAACTAATTTTTAACAAATACAAAACAAACTTAAACATCATTTCCATAATTTAACAACAAACTTAAACTATATCAAATTTAAATGTCAACCCAAAAGGAGCTCTAAAATGAAATTAAACTATACCAACTCGAGTTTCTTAACTTAAGTGAAATTAAATTTTATCAAGCTCATCCAATCTTCTAATTCCAACCAAATTTTTTCAAATTTGTCCATCTTTGTCTTCATTGTTTATCATCTCTCAGATATTGGCTGATGATTTGGAAAGATATAAGCCAAAACTTAATCTTGAGTATTTT